GTGTGGAGTGTTCAGGAGAGACCACGACTAAAATACAATTATATATAAGGAGAGCTTACTGAAACAAATCCAGATGCTGTAGACTACCAGAGTGGAAACGTGCATGCACTGTCTGTTAATGGAAGAAAGTCTAATGCTAAAGATTTATGGCTTATTGATTCTGAGAGTTTCTCACATTTAACAAACTCAGTGGACTGGTTTGTTGATCTGGATAGACAGAAAAAGCCCAGTTTACAGCAAGTTAATGGTCAAGCTTTATCTGTGGAAGGAAGTGGAACTGTTGTGCTGAGAGTTTTGAATGCATGTGGTGAAACTGAGGAAGTTAAAGATTGCATCTTTGTTCCTGAGGCCACTAACTGCCTTATAGCCACTAAAAGGATCATACAAAATGGGTATAGAGTAGATCTTGAAAAGGGCCAAGACAGAATTTGGCATGCCGAATATGGCACTGATCTAATGCTTGAAGAAACTGATAACTTTCATTATCTGAGAGATATTGCTGTTGCTAATGATAATAAAATGGACACTTGTGGGCCAGTGGGCCATACAAGATCACCTACATGTGATCACAACAATTGTCTTTATGCATGGCATGTCAAATTAGCTCATAGGCATGTGCAAAAGCTGTTGAAGGACAGTAATATCACTGCTGTTGATTGTGATGTGATGAAAAATGGCTGTGAAACATGTTTGAAAGCAAAAGGCACAGCTCCTAGCAACAAAGGCCAATCTCCTGAACAAGATACAAAGTTTCTAGAGATTGTGTACTCAGACCTTGTGGGACCAGTAAAAGAATCTGCTGGAGGCAACAAGTATTGTGTCAGTTTTCTGGAAGCCAAATCCAGATATGTCTATACATACCTACTCAAAAGCAAAGACCAAGTGCTTGAAAAGTTTAAATGCTATGTCGCAGCTGTTAAAGACAAGTGGAGGAGGAGGGGATTGGATTTATCCCCCGCCCTTCACTACCCAAAGGAGTCACAGAGTGGCTTACAAACTCCTTCCCCCCCCCCACAACAACAGACACCCTGTGAGGTAGGTGGGGCGGAGAGAGCTCTGACAAAAACTGCTCTTTTTTCAAGAACAGCTCTTGCCAGAACTACAGCTTGCTTAAGGTCATCCAGCCAGGTGCAAGTGGAGGAGTGGGGAATCAAACCCGGTTCTCCCAGATTAGAGTCCGCGCACATTTAACCAAGACACCAAACTGGCTCTCAGTTTGGCAAAACACCAGAGGCAAAGCATTACAGAGGCCCCGGTCACATGGCAAAGTTGCCGCAGGAGAGGCATGGGAGTCCTGTGGATTTTCCGGGCGTGATCACACCCCAACATCTGGGAAGCGCAGTGCTCCCATGGCGCACACGTGGCTCCCTGCTTAAGGTGCGGAGTTAAAAACTAGTACCTATGAGGTACTAGTTTCCGGAAACCGTGGGGCAAGGGCGGGTGTCTGACTGCGTTGCCGGTGGACTGTTGTGGCATCCGGCGGCTGCCGATGTTCCGTTGCGACCAAGGGGATTTTTTTCTCCCAAGTCTCCGCAGGATGCAGAAAAGCGCCCAACGGCGCATGCGCACCAACAGGAAGCGGCGTTTGCCACAGAAGCAGCGCGGCACAAGTGCCAGTTTGAACGCACCGTGCTGCTTCTTTGCCGCGCTGTGGACTAGCCGTCTGATCTGCACCTGACGCCTACTCAGGGGACCTCGAAAGGACTTCTGATTGGGCTGCCGCACATTATTTTCCTCCGGGGCAATTAGCCACGCCTCCCCCCACATTTTCTGGCCCGTGTGCCCGGGGCCAGATAATGGTATGGAGTACCGTGGCAAGGAGTTCCAAAGATTTATGCAACAAGGAGGAGTCTCAGAGTGGCTTACAGATGCCTTTCCCTCCCCCTCCGCACAACAGAAACCCTGTGAGGTAGGCGGGGCTGAGAGAGCTCTGACAGAAACTGCCCTTTTCCAAGAACAGCTCTTATCAGAACTAGGCTTGCCCAAGGTCACATCAGCAGATGCAAGTGGAGGGAGGGGTAGGGAATCAAACCCGGTGCTCCCAGATTAGAGTGCGGGCACTTCACCACCACACCAAACTGGCTCACTGGTGGGTGGGGAAGGGCTCCCGGGGCGACTGTCTTCCTTGGGCAGCCTGGAGACCCGCACGGATCGGGAGGGCCGGGGAGCGTTCACGCCCTGGAGACCGGCCGGCGCGGAGTCACTTTCGCTTCCCGGCGCAGAGAAGGCAGCTGGTTTCCGAGAAGCGGCCCGGAAAGTCCGAGGCGGGGGGGGCGGAAAGCAGCAGCGCCAGGTAGGGCGGCGGCGGGCTCCTCCTTCCCTGCTTACAGCTAGTCTGGTGGCCCCTCGAGGCTGGCCCGCGGCGGGAGGAGGGGCGGCGGCGGCGGGCGCTGCTCCCTGGCTGGATCCCCTCGGCGGTGACCAGCGCGGCGCCCCGCCTCTCCCTACGGCTTGACCCCCTCCAAGAGACCGGCCCCCCTCGGATCCGGCCCGGCTGAGCGCCCTCGAGGGACACCCGCCCCTCCCGGTCGAAGCCCCTGTCCAAGGCAAGGCCGCCAGCGCCTCCCGCGGCACCGGTGGGAGGGGGGAGCGCCTCCGTCCGGCGAGGAGACACAGCTCCCCCGCCGGGGGGTCGCAAGAAGGAAGCCCCCCTACCCACCCTATCCCCCCTTTCCCTTGCCGCCGCCGCAGGCCCCCCTGACGGGCACCTGGGAGAACGACCTGGGCTCCAGGATGGTCATCCGCCCGCCCGACGACGCCGGCGCCTTCACCGGCACCTACACCACGGCGGTGGCGGCCTCCGAGAAGCCCATCCGCGACTCGCCCCTCTACGGCACCCTGCACCTCGACGGCCAGCCCGAGCCCACCTTCGGCTTCGCCGTCAACTGGACCTTCTCAGGTGGGCCGCCGCCCCGCCCCGCGTTTCAAGCGCCACTGGATCTCATGCCGGGGGGGGGGAGGGCGCAGTGGTAACTCCCCCCCCCTTCTGTTCCCAAATGGGGGCTCGCGGTGGTCACGCCGCTCAGTCAGTCGCCAAGCGGGGATGATGAGCAGGAGCCGAGCGGCCCGGCCCGGCGGAGCCACGGAGAAGGCGGCCTCACCACCTCTGCCGGCCCCTCCCTCCGGCGCGGCGGCCCTCTGTCCGCGCAGCCCAGCCGCGTGCTCGGCGGTGCTGCTTGCCCGCCCCCGTGCTCCTCCTGAGCGCTGGCTCGGCCCCGGCCACCACCTCGGCCCCGGCAGGCACAGCGGGGTAG